AGACTATTTCATTGTATACAGGCTGATAGAAGGAGGTAAAGACTATTTCATTAGATACAGGCTGATAGAAAGAGGTAAAGACTATTTCATTGTATACAGGCTGATAGAAGGAGCTTAAGACTATATCATTGTTACTTGGTTTTTTAAAATTGGTGTCAGCTACGATCATAAATACTGATTCATTGTGATAACATGATATGTTTTCTTGACAGAGGTTAACACCCCAAGCAGTCCAGTCTAGCAGACGACATACATTGTATGTTGTAACACGTGCTGTGAATATGCTATGTGTTATTTCTAGCAATTTCTTACTAACTTAATCACAGTTGTGATGTCATACTTTGTAGTTGACATTGAGGTTATAGTCTCGAATAAAGTGGTTATTTTCTGGAATTTGTATCATTTAATTGCCACGTGCACCCGTATTGATTTACGTGTTAACACAGATTTAATTGCGTCACCCTATGCTTTATTTATTTTCTATGTAAGGGCCATTTTAGTCAAAATTCTCTGTTTGATGTTTAATACATTAGTAAACATGTCATTACACTAAACAGTTTCCAAAATCCTGCTACATGAAAGAGCTCTATTCCGTCTTTGCGTATTGCAGAGTTATCTTCTCTTGGGAGCAGGTATTGATTGTTCCGTCATTGGTTTGTGTGAGAAAATACGTCGTTTTCGCAAAAATTGATGACGTTACTCTCACAAACCAATGACGTAACAATCAATACCTGCTCACAAGATAAGATAACTCTGCAATACGCAAAGACGGAATTGTCAACGCCTGAGAGTTACATGTTTTGCGCTTGAAATGACCAAGTTCGGCTGACTGATAAATACCAAGCATTCACTATATTAGTACATATTTATTTTGATATGAACATCATGTGCCTTTCCAAGTATAGTCACTCTACCAGTATCTGTCCAATAAGTAAAAAATATTCATCCATGTATGAATAACCATGGATCATGCTGCAAACACACATATGCTTTGTTATTGTTAACTTCATAACCGGTACATTGATCATTAAAAAACGTGTCCACTATTAATACAAAGGGGTACCATGTTTCCAGTTGGAGAAGAGCCTCATACTTTCCACCTGTGAGTGAACAAATAGATATCTTTTGCAGTCCATTCTCTCACAGAATGGGCAGTTTCTGGCCCTCCTCCTTAAACTTAAATTTTATTAAATTACTAGTTTACCACTAAGCAATAAGTACATTTTCAATCAAAAACAAAACAAACAAACAACAATTGCATCAACCTTCAATCAGGCATCACACTATACAATAACAACACAAAGTCAACACACAAATACGATAGCAAGCTAAACTTCGACAGAATTTTAGATTTCTGTCCAATGAATTAAGGATCTGCAAACATATTCAAGATTAGAAAAGTACATACATGCGGGTATGTTACTGTATATGACTGATGTAACTTCGCTTTTGTATGCTATATAATGTATGACTTGTGTAACTTCAATTTTGTATATTCGGTGTTTGTGAAGCCATTCTTCTTTGTTTTATTTTACCAGGACAAGTTGTATTTTTTGTGGTGAAGTGATTTAAAACAAATTCACTTTAATATTGAACTCGGCCACATCTTCTCCCCGGTACCCCGTATTGCTTGTGTATATTGATATATATTTGTGCTTGCAAAAACAACTACGGTAATATATTTTCTCGCTTCATTTGCTAACATGTTGTTGTTTTTTTCTATTTATCTATGTCTTCAAGATAATTTTTTACCATAATCAGCCTTCGGTTTCAAACTATACGAATTGATATGCGATAGCATCAGCATATTCCATAAATGAGAACTGTCGTTTGTTTTGTATGTGTAGTATTGTTTTATAGTGACTATTTATCTCTTTCATATATATTGTGAAATGTAACTGTAACAAATTGTTTTGTCTTCATTGTCATTATTACGTCCTTGCCTATATGATTAATCGTCTCATTTAGGGAGAAACATTACACCATAGTTTGACGGTAAAAATGTACATACAAATATAATTCATGTAGTTTAAGTCCAATGTGATGGAAGCAGAATTAGAAACCTCAAGATATGTTAAATAAACTGATGACTGGCTCCCTTATTAGTATTTTGATGAAGGTCACGATATATCATGATAACACTCTCAGAACTTAAATTTTAATGGCGATGCGGCGACTATAAAAAAGATATTTGTGACAGTACAGTCTCATTTCGATGCAAATTTCAAACTTAAGCAGGGTTACTCCTATTACTATTCATTGAAGATAGAAATATTGAAACAACATTTTTTTTTAAATAAAAAATTTGAGGTGTGTGTGTGTGTGTGTGTGTGTGTGTTTTCCCCCAGTAATTTAGGGCGCGCACTCTACCGTAAATGAGAGGTGACAGAAATAATCATAGTAAGGTATCCATAACTACTTCTTTGAGGAAAGCTAATGTCCCTAGTATCATTAATCCTATAGATTTTCTGTTATACGCCCGCAAGTTGATTCACTTGACCAATGAATTGCAATTTATTAGAATCACAATTATTTTTATACGTAAGTCCAATGATAAATGTAATTATTTTTTCACTTCCTTTTCTTAACAAGACAAATTGTAATAAATTGCCCTGACGAATCATTGACGAATACACTGCCAGAATGCAGACAGGGAATGGAGAACCCGACACCACAGATACGGTGAGAAGATGATGATAAAACTTTTTTTGATATCGTCATTTAGACTTGTTAACTATTTTCAATCTTAATGCATCTACATTCTTAAATAAATAAATATTTATTAATATGTTGATATTTTTGGTGAAACTTAACATGCAATTTCATATACTTTAATTCAAAGACANCTAAAAGATAATTGGGCTGACTTTGACTGTAGACTAAAGACGTATTTAAGCCCGGTCTGTATAGCAAAATTAACAATTTTTCACCAGGTATTCAATGCTTTGAAGAACAACATGGTGATCAGGATTGGAGATTATAAAGTCCTACGGGACATGGTGAATCCTATTCATGTCCAAATGGGTAAAATCATTGACGAATACACTGCCAAAATGCAGACAGGGAATGGAGAACCCGACACCACAGATACGGTGAGAAGATGATGATACAACTTTTTTTCAAAATATTTTCATTTTATAGTGAAGATGATATCGTCATTTAGACTTGTTAACTATTTTCAATCTTAATGCATCTACATTCTTAAGGCAATCAATATTTATTAATATGTTCATTTTTTTGGTGAAACTTAACTTGCAATTTCATATACTTTAATTCAAAGACATACACATACTAACTTTTACAAGTGAAACACTTTCAGTTACCTACGGTTGTTCTTTTTGTACAGATGGTAAATAACATGGAAGCATCGGAAGAGATGAAGAATTTAGAAAATGAAATGGCAATTAAGTTGAGTAAACACCTTCACCCACGCCTACAATCGAAATGGGCCAACTTCGATTGTTTATTATCAGAATATTTAGACAAGGTTTGCAGAGCTGGATTGAAGAATATATTCATGGTAATCGATGAATTAAGAAACATGGAGAAGATCAGTATTGGAAATTACAAAGTTCTACGCGAAATGGTCACATCTATTCACGTTGAAATGGGAGTTATTATTGATGAATATACTGAGAAAATCAGATTACAATACGAGAAAGAGCGAACGCGAGATGTAAACCAGTAATACTGGGCTGGATTTAGATTATTAAATTGTATGTCGATCCTTTGTGTATCCATCAATGACGATACACGCGGAGACAATCTTCATTCTTTATTGAAAATTCATTACTTTTACGTTTGTATATAACACATATTCTGCTGTGCCATTTTAAATGGATTATGCGTTCATCTATAATTCGTTTCTGAATGTGCAGAAAACATATATACCTTCTTTTCTGCACACAAAGTATACCAGTGAACTTTTATGTGTATATAGTAAGTATCAAATTTGACAAAAAATATCCATATTTCATATAACACGATAAATTGGCCCCAAAATTGAATATCTAGAAAAAGTATGATACAAAAACAATAATATCAGAAAGTGTGCCGACTTAAAACAAGTATACCTTTGGACATTATCTAATACATTTCCTTAGTTTAACTTATTTTTAACCTCACATAGATAACCTCTTATTTTTTTATGATAGAATACTAAGACAGGGTGAAACTCCAGATCTACAAAAGTAAAGAAGATGTCAGTGACTTTAATAATTACAGATATAACGCTATAACATCTGTTTTTATCAAAATGTCGGGGAAATATTTTTCTTTAAGCATACCTACAAATATATAATGAAACATACATCATGTACAGTTGTGGGATCGCACAACGTTACACGATGTGCGGTGTGCGCACGATGTGGCACGGTGTGTGAACGACGTGTGCACGAAGTGCGAACGATAAAAAAATGGACTATCATTCCTTGCGCACATTTGTGCGGACGATCGACGAACGTTGGGCCATAACAATCGTGGTTGGTATAAATTGAGGAATGCCTTGACAATATATACGGTTTCGTGTTTGAACATAAAATTAGATTTTTTAGTATGTTTCTATAATATAGCTACATCTATAAGCTTATCTTTTTGTCTATACTTTCTTAAATTTAGAAATGGTGTTTTGTGGGTTTTTTAAACGACCTTAATCGACACGTGTAAATTTACAACACAGTCTCGGCTACACAGGTAAACATTGCCACTTTGTACCTGGACCGTAGTTTACACCGCCCGGGGCACTTACGTAACTCGCCAAGGTGTGAAAACCTGATGAAGGGGAGCTATAGACCAAAACGAATGCAAATAACAAACATTATGAGTTTTCATAATGGTCATGCGGTATCATATATCAGCTCTATGTGTCAAGTACAGGCCAGGTAAAACTCCGGTAACTCATCAAATTGTTATTTACCTGTTCTGTTACCGAGGAGCCAAACCCATTCTTGACAGTCTAACGGTCACTGTATACTGTATCACACGCATTGTAAACTTGTATATACTCTTAATTATAGCAGAGACGTATACGTCTCTGATTATATAGTGATGAGAAATTACAGTGATATATACAGTGTACATTATTGCATACGAACATTCCGTATTTTTTCCATTCCGTAATATTGATCTACAAATTGTACCATATCGCACAGATGTGCGGAGAGAAGCGCACAACGGGGCGAACGATTGTTAAATCGCACAGTTGTGCGCACCATGTGTGGACGATGTGCGGACGGTGTGTGAACGATGTATGCACGGTGTGCGCACGGTATTTTTGGTGCGTTGTGCGTTCCCACAACTGTAACATGCTAAGTGAACATCAGTAAGGATTTCAAAATAGAGACTGAACTGTTATTCACCTTGCAGATATATTTAGCACACTACGTTCGCATTTAGATAAAGGTAAATAACTTAACTTTGTTTTCTGATATATATTATTTAAATCACTTGTATAAACTAAAACACATGGTGTAATAATGAATGGTTTAAAGCCTATTTGTCAGGAATATATCTGTCGTCATTTAGTGATGTATCAATCATATACCAAATCAAAAACTGCAGGTCTTCCTTCAGGATCTGTTCTTGGACCTTTCTATTCTTACTCTTTATCAAGTACAATGTATCTGTTTTGGACTTTTCTGTTTTATCAACGTTCCTCACTGATCTTTGTTTTTACCTTCTCTGTTTTTATTCTTTCCAAATGAGATTACAAATATTGTAATTTCAAATATCAAAAATTTTGCAATTGAAACTTTTTTTATATATATTATTTCAGAAAACGAACGTGACACTAATGCACCTGGTAATATACTTAATAGATAATGTACTCAATCACTGCACGGGCTATCCAATGAAAAATCATCTTCAAGCAAAATACAAACGTAACAATAAATTTTACTCTTAAGCATACTACTATCCATCCATCTTTTCCTCATCTTATAACAAAACTTGTCCGTTACAAACAATTCTGTTTAACATTTAACAAAAAGGATACTCGGCCTGATCGGTTGATGACTGTCCATGTACCTGATGTGCTAATATAGAAAATGCAATACACTTTTTTCCAATGTCCCCTTGATAATAATTATAGTTTAGACATCACATTGTCCATTGTGAAGAATCAGTTAAGATATGCAAATCTGTATACTCAATCATACAAAATCCTACATCAAAACAAGTCTAGATTCCATATCATAAATGGTATATTAAGTTGTAACTCTAACAAATATATATTATAACACTACATTTAGCCTTTTTCTAGATTATCTCCCTTTGGGTTTTTTTCACCAGCAACACTTATTAATATTTCAGTTAATGTTACTTACTATTTGCTAGCCATAATTTGTCCATTTGTTGGTGTGATTATCTCACTACATGGCAAGTGTGAATGGAGTTTGAGAGCGAGAGATTATAAGTACTTTTATTGTAAAAAACAATATTGCTTTTCTTCTATATATGATGAGTGGATATCGGACATTAAATGGGAAAAGACTGATATAAGCTTAGCCTGATGTCTTTTCAGTTTGTTGGTGCATATATTGTTTTCCTTATATCTGTATCATCTGCAGGTCATCTGTATCAACGATAACATATTTAAAAATTGAAAAATATCACCAAATTTATTTTGGCGATGCAATGACTACATTATACAGAATTCCAACATGTCAAGTTTAAGCCAGTAAACTTTAGACGTTTAGCTGTCACAACTTGATTGTTAAAAGTGTTGTCAAATCAGCCGCATTAAAGAAACATTTTTTTCATTTACTATTTTTATTAGCGAAACAATATTCATGCATACATGTTTGAAATGAATCATTATGAAAAGATAATTCTTTTATGTAATATTTTATATTATTGTCATTGTAATGATTTTATATAGTTTCCAAACTATAACAATGTATCATGTTGCAGTTACGCACAACTACATGAATAATAAACACAAATGTACAAAACCTTCAATAGAGTTACTAGTCCAAGATGTGTTGTTTATGTTATTGGTCGTTTGTTGAACGTAAAGACAACTTATCAACAGCTGCTAGTGTCTTTTAACATATATCCATCTTCCCTTTCTGTCCAGATTTATAATTTGATCAAATGTTGAGAACTTATGGATTTATTTCAAAATATCATACTTCACAACACATGACTTTCAAATTATCTACAGGATGGAATTTTCAATCTGTCAATCATCTATCCTTGCTTAGTTCGAATGGAGTCCAACCAATCATTTTACACAAGACTGTTGAATGGGTAGTCATCCAGATGAGCCATTCTGAAAGAGAAATAAACAAGCCTATTAAGGGATGTTCAAAACGAAATCTCCTTGTGCGTCCTGGCCACGGTGGTCAAGACGAGGCTTGAGGCGTACGTAATATGTTGTTAAATGTTATTAAGGCTGTCCACATTAGTCAGAAGGACTAAACATGAGAACTAAAACCGCAAGGATATATTTGATTCTTTATTAAAACGAGACTTGATTACTGATATATACTCGAGTAGGCGTGGGTACACATATTTCACCCCTGTGACCTTGAATGTTGGTCAAGGTCAGTGAAGGACTAAACATGAGAACTAGAACCGCTAGGATATCTTTGATTCTTCATTAAAACGAGATTTTAAAGATATTTAATATAATGGTCCATCATCCTGAACGTTTGATGTCGAATCGGAGATCATGATTGGGTGTTTTTTTTGTGTAACAATAAATACATGACACATTGCATACTTATATTATTTACTTACATTTCGGCTTTGAACAATCGAAGTCCTTTGTCAATTCCTGCAATTGTGTCCATATCCTCCGATGTCAATTGAAAGTCGAACACCTTGAAACATCGACATTTACAAAATATGAAATAAGTGTGACCTTATCAGCGGGCGCACATATGAAAATATTGTGTTCTGTATAATTAACAGTATATGTACTCTCAATAAAGCATTCGAAGTAAACAGCAAATCCTTTCATACACTGCAATGCAATCGGCGCACCCTTTGCTTTTTATTACATCACTCATCAATATGTCCTCTGCATAGGGATATTTAAGTAACATATTGGGATATTTTGGACCACTATAAATTTTGTCCTTCCTTCTTTCTTTTCTTAGCTGTTATTATTATTGGAAACTCTTAAAAAACAATGAATTGATTTTGAATCTGTAATTCAAGCACTGCATTCCATTTCTTAAATAATTTATTTTTAACATTTTGATCAATCTGTGTATAAGTGATCACGTCATTTCATGGAAGGGCAATTGTAACAATTCAAATGAAGAAAGCAGATGATTATTGGGCCTGTACACCTCATTTGTTTAAAAGATGAGCCTTCATTTAGTATACAATAATCTCACTCTCATTCTCCAGTACTTTTCTTTACACGTGTTGACATAACAACTCACACTGTTCAGCCGATCGCCAGATAACACAAATCGTTATTTCTGCCAGTCTCGTTTTGTCACTGGCAAACGTAACTTTACTTGTGTATTGCGGTCAGACAAAAAACGAACTGATAACACAACGCATCACTAACATACAAAGCCACACCCCAGACCTGTTGTTTTCTTTGCCGGCAACATTTTGAGATTATTTTAAACAGTATCAGACAAATACATCGTCCTGCTTTATACAACAGTAGATCATCAAAATATATTTAAGCAGTGAAGGTGATTATTATAATCTGTTAATTTATTGAAAGTTGAAGTCGGCGTACGTTTCCGTTTTCTTGAATTCTGCTTGGTGTTACACTCTTCGGGATGACTATGATATTCCTCTGAAGTAAGTTCCGTAAAAGGATCTGAAGAAAAAATGAATCACATCATGAAATGGGTTCGTATAGCACCATTCAGTAGCTAATGGCATACGAAATACCACTACAGCCAAACATGTTTTCAGAGACCCCACATAAGAAGTCGATAAAATGGTCTTTTATTACAGGCGGTCACCTGATAAAGGTTCAATTAACACGGGAATGAATTCAATGCGGAAGTAGAAATTCTTAACACAAATGGACACTTAATAGGACAAACCTTTCGTGCAGGCTTAACTGAAAAGTATGTAGTATTGAATATGAACTGCACAATTCAAAATCAACGTAAGATGCATGCACATGATTTAAAAAGAAAATATTAATCATTTTCATTTGTATGAAATAAGTCTTGTTAAAACAAATGATGATTTTTAAAAAGCAGAATATACATCTACCTGAGTAGGAGTTTTACTATATTTTGTGGCAAGTTTGGCAATAGCAGGATCTTTCAACAGCACAGGAACATCGGACTCGTTATCGATATCGACACTGCAAGAAAAGGAAATAATATATTTGCGAGATTGATATCTTCATTAAGTAGTGAAAAAGTCATTAATGATGGGTTGAAGTACACAGGTGATTAAAACTGCTACCTGGGTATGTAAGCACAAGTTTGCATAATGCCACTCAAACGTACAACAAAAATAAAATATCTTAGGATAAAAATTTGATATCAAAAATGAACAAAACAGGTGTAAAACAGCTTCACCAGACAAGAATAAAGACTAAGATCAATGTCATGTCGAGAAAAGGAAGGTGACACCAAATATATTCATCGTGAATTCACCCGACAAAAACCGAAGGTAAAGCCTGTTTGGAAGGCTTTTTGTTTGCGTATCCTTTCCATCATGTTATATTTCAAAGTAATGGGACAAGTTACTATGCTATTTGTACGATTTAAATTAGTTTTTCTGCCGTTGTCATCACTTGGTTCATTTTTAAAGATAATGCAAATTCAATACATACAAGATCGAGAAAAGAATACACCTGCTGTTCCCAACTGTTTATATGGTAAGAGGCGACAAATAATGAGCCCCTGCAGAATTTGGGGGGGGGGGGGGGGGGTCCCCATTGCAGTATTTGGGATCTGCATATTTATCTCTGCATCTAAATCATTTTTATTTCCTAGTGCTTTGGGTGACATTACTTTACCTCTAGCTTTATTGTTGAGCGTTCGCCCAGGTATATCTGTCTACAGGCCTAGACATACCAAAGTCTTTTAAAATGGTAGTTGTTATTTCTTGCTTAACGTTTAGCATTAAGAGTAATGGCAGCAACGGGTTCACCGTCAGTATAACATGGTCGGGCTGAATGCTGTGCTGGGTGCCTTAAGCATGTCATTTCAGTGAGATACATATATATTGTAGCACTTTAAAGTTGGACGTCAGTTGTGCACTAGGAGACATTTACATCAACATACCCTGTTTCCAGCACACATACACACATGCACGTATTCAAAACACACACTGAAGCACGTCCTTAAATAACCCGAGCTGTTAATAGGACAGTGAACAGAATTAGACAAAACTCACCTTTTAAAAGCTAATCTCCCTGGCGATCCGATTGGTCCATAGGACATGATCGGCATGTTATACTTTTTCAAGTACTCCTCAAGTTCTGTCCGAGGAAAGTAGGCATGGCACTCAACCGGAAGGAGTATATAGACAAAACCTAAATTGATAAAGCACATACATGTATCAAAAGATAAACGGCATACATCGACCAAATTAATTGTATGCGAAGTACCTATTCGCTTTCTGTTATTTTCATTTTCCTTATAAATGCCAAAGCGTTTAAATGATTTCCAGATTATCTCTTGATTCAGGAAACAACCATTGCGGATATATAAACACTGAGCTGCATTCAGTTGGTATTCAAAGTCAAAGCTCGCTTTATAGAATTTGTGTCGTTCTATGGGTGCCAACTGAAATCTGCTCAAAATTGTTTTTTTTTAAATCTTTCTACTCGTGGATAATCAAAATGATTTATTCCATGCATCATTAAGCTCAAATATTTTTAGGTATCATGTTTGCATTTTTACGAATAAAACTGAAATTATGATGACGTCAGTGGTTATCAGCGTTCAATTATGATGTCATAATATTGATGACATCAGCACAACAACCATGGCATTCATAAAGTGGATGAAAATACAGTATCTGAACTTGACATGTGAACGATAATAATACAGGGACAATAACATGACAATAAGTCTGTAATAGCACATATTGATTAGTATATTATGGAAGGCATGTCACTCATTCTGTTATAACTGTGTAATGTTTTAACTGAAGGCATTGTATACATTTTTTTTAACACACATGGATTGTGTTATTTTGGAGAAAGCATGACTAGTAGTTTGTCATAATCTATAAGTAGCATGGAATGGCAGAGGGCATGACATTTAGTTTGTCATAACACATATAAATTATGTTATTGAAGAAGACATGACACGTAGTCTGTATTTCCACATAATCTCTGTATTAAGAAAGACGATATGTTACTTTCACATAATTTACAAAACAATAGTGTGATCTTTATAACACATGTAACTCTACCAATGCGCTCTAACAGTGCTGAGATAAGATTTGATGTGTCAATAGCTATCCTTGATCAACAGTGTCGTTATGCACCGACAAAAACATAATTAAGCTGTGTACACTATTCATAATATTTTGTTAGCCTTATATTTTCCCTTTTGAAATCATAGTTTAAACATTGTATTACTTAACAAGAGGCCCAGGGGCCTTTATAGCTCATCTGGTATTTTATTTTTCAATTTAAACCTGCTGAGTACCATACATGTTTATCTAAGGAGTACAGTAAACAAAGTTGCAAGAAGAACTACACATAAATCTGTTTTGGTGGGAAAGACACCAAGAAAATAAGTTTCCATGTTATGTCCCAATTTTCCTCTATTTCCCCTATTGGGCCGCACATGCACCTTTTTATACAAATTAAACGAATTGAGGGTTTTTTCCCTAAGCATGCTTCATACCACATTTGGTTTAAATCCCTTCATTTTTACAGAAGGGAAAATATTTTTCTCTATTTCCCCTATACTCCTATGCCCCTGGTGGTGGTGGTGGTGGTGGTGGTGGTGGTAGGGGACATCTTCCATTTATGAGTATTAAATTCCCTTTTCCCGAAGATTCCTTAGAATAAGTTTGGGTAAAATCCCTTCAACGGTACAGAAGGAGAAGGATCTTTAATGTTTTCCTCTACTTCCCTTAATGGGCCCCACCCATCTGCCACAAAGAAGGGGGCCCACACACCTCAATTTATACAAAATTGATTTTTTTGTCCCTAAGTATGCTTCAGATTGCATTTGGATTAAATCCCATCACTTGTATAGTAGGAGAGAAAAAAAATCCTCTTTTTCCCCTATTTGGCCCTGCCCCTCTGTCCTCAGAGAGGCCACACCCTCTGTTTATACAAACTTGAATATACAACACTGAGAACCCTTTGGCCAATGATGCTCCAGACCAGATTTGGTCGAAATCCCTTCATCGGTACAAAAGGAGAAGGATCTTAATGTTTTCCTCTATTTCCCCTTATGGGCCCCACCCATCTGCCATAAAGAAGGGTGTCCACACACCTCAGTTTATACAAAATTGATTCTTTTGTCCCTAAGCATGCATCAGACTGCATTTGGTTTAAATGCCTTCACTTGTATAGTAGGAGAAAAAACCAACATATTTCCCCTATTTGGCCCCGCCCCTCCGGCCCCCAGCAGGCCAATACGCTCCGTTTATACAAACTTGAAGCTCCTTTGTGCAAAGATGCTCTAGGACAAATTTGGTCAAAATCCTTCTATTGGTTGAGAAGAAGATTTTTAAAGATTTACCTATTTTCCCCCTATTTGGCCCCGCCCCTCTGCCCCGAGGCACCTACCGTTTATACAAAACTGAGAACCCTTAGGGCAATGATGCTCCAGACCAAATTTGGTCAAAATCGTCTCAGCCGTTAAGGACAAGTAGCGTTTTAAAGGAAAAAGTCGACGGACGACGGACAACGGACTTGGCCCTTCGGGACAGGTGAGCTTAAAAGCAGTTTCGTATGAATTACTTACTTATAATTCAGGAGTAATATAAAGTTTTGTACATTGTACTTCTTTCCATTTAGGGGACAATAAGTATAAAATTTCAATAAATCTTCATATCATTTTAAGAAATATGATACATACATTTAACAATAAATAAACAATAAGAATAAATATTTTTAGAACCCTTTATAGAAGTTTTGATTTACAACTAAGACCGACAATTATAAACGATTGTGTGATGACTGATATCAAAGGACAGATTTAGTGAATATCATATATAAATTCGATCAAAATGTATATACCTGGTTAGTGACTGGCATTATGCGTGCGACTTTACGAATGCGCTCTAACTGTGCGGCGTTCAGATTTGATATGCCAATACTTTTAGTCTTTCCTTGATCGACGAGTTTTTCCATTTCCTGAAATCAAATGATAGTGCAGATGCTGTGAGTTGGTTAGAAGACAAATCAGATGGAGAGACAGCAACAGAAACCTACGAAGCACTGACAAAGGTAATCGAGGGGTCACTGAAACAAAACGAAAAACCAGACAGGAACTGATGAAAAATCAATTCAAAAGGAATACAACAACTGCAACTTAGAAGATACTAAAGCAAAGCGAATACCACATTAGGAACTGAAAAAACACTGAAACAATAGTAAAGAAAAAATCAGAAGCTGGTGAGTCAACAACAAAAAAGAAAAGACGAGAAAAGCTAAGGAGACATTGACCAAAAATTAAGGAGTCACTTAAACCATAGGTCATCCGAAGTAAAGGTCACCCGAACTTAAGGTCACCCGAACTATATGTCACTGGAACTATAGGTCAGCCGAACTTAAGATCAACCGAACTAAAGATCACCCGAAATAAAGGTCACTCGAGCTAAAGGTCACCCAAACTAAAGGTCACCCCAATTTAAAGTCATTCGAACTATAGGTCACCCGAACTAAAGGTAACTCGAACTAAAGGCACCCGAACTAAAGGTCACCCGAACTTAAGGTCACTCGAACTAAATGTCACCCACACTTAAGGTCACCCGAACTTAAGGTCACTCGAACTGTAGGTCATCCGAACTAAAGGTCACCCGAACTTAAGGTCACACGAACTAAAGGTCACCCGAACCTAAGGTCACCCGAACTAAAGGTCACCCGAACTTAAGGTCACACGAACTAAAGGTCACCCGAACTAAAGGGTACCCGAACAACAGAGGAGACAATAAAACATTATAATAAACAAAAATAGCAACTGTTCAGACACCAAACCAAAGGTAAAGACAACAAAAGGAAATTAAGGCGACACCAAATAAAACTGAGGAGACACTTAAACTAAAATAAAGGTAACATCAGAAACTAAGAAGAATATGACAAAAATACAGAGACATTGAAACAAAGCGAAACAACAAAAGAAAAAATCAGAATGAATGAATCATTAGAAAGACAAGACCAGAAAGCGACCGGACACCAAACTAAAAGTAAAGACAATAAAAAGAACTGATGAGACACGAACCCAAAATAAAAGAAAGCAACATAGCCTAAAGAAACACTGACACAAAGGGTAATGACAACAAAAGATATCGGGGATACATCAACAAAATAGGAACATATTGTCAACTCACACAAAAACACTACGGTAAAGTCACTAGATACAGGGGAGACATCAACACAATAGGAACACATTGTCAACTCACACAAAAACACTACGGTAAAGACACTAGATACAGGGGAGATATCAACACAATAGGAACACATGGTCAACTCACACAAAAACACTAAGGTAAGGAAATTAGATACAGGGGAGACATCAACACAATAGGAACATATTGTCAACTCAAACAAAAACACTACGGTTAAGATACTAGATACAGGGGAGATATCAACACAATAGGAACACATTGTCAACGCTTAACTACGGTAAGGAAACTAGATACAGGGGAGATATCAACACAATAGGAACACATTGTCAGGGAAGACATCAACACAATAGGAACACGTAGTCAGGGAACACATCAACACAATAGGAACACATTGCCAACTCACACAAAACTACTACGGTAAGGAAACTAGATACAGGGGAGATATCAACACAATAGGAACATATTGTCAACTCAAACAAAAACACTACGGTAAAGACACTAGATACAGGGGAGACATCAACACAATAGGAACACATTGTCAGGGAAGACATCAACAAAATGGGAACATATTGTCAGGGAAGACATCAACACAATAGGAACACATTGCCAACTCACACAAAATTACTACGGTAAGGAAACTAGATACAGGGGAGACATCAACACAATAGGAACATATTGTCAACTCAAACAAAAACACTACGGTAAAGACACTAGATACAGGGGAGACATCAACACAATAGGAACACATTGTCAATTCAAACAAAAACACTACGGTAAGGAAACTAGATACAGGGGAGATATCAACACAATAGGAACACATTGTCAACTCAAACAAAAACACTACGGATAAGACACTAGATACAGGGGAGACATCAGCACAATAGGAACACATTGTCAGGGAAGACATCAACAAAATGGGAACATATTGTCAGGGAAGACATCAACACAATAGGAACACATTGCCAACTCACACAAAATTAATACGGTAAAAAACTAGATACAGGGGAGATATCAACACAATAGGAACATATTGTCAACTCAAACAAAAACACTACGGATAAGACACTAGATACAGGGGAGACATCAACACAATAGGAACACATTGTCAACTCAGACAAAGTAACTACGGTAAGGAAACACTAGATACAGGGGAGATATCAACAAAATAGGCACACATTGTCAGGGAAGACATCAACACCATAGGAACAAATTGTCAGGGAAGACATCAACACAATAGGAACACATTGCCAACTCACACAAAATTAATACGGTAAAAAACTAGATACAGGGGAGATATCAACACAATAGGAACACATTGACAACGCAAACAAAAACACTACGGTAAAGACACTAGATACAGAGAAGACATCAACACAATATGAACACATTGTCAACTCAGACAAAATAACTACGGTAGGGAAACTAGATACAGGGGAGATATCAACACAATAGGAACACATTGTCAACTCACACAAACACACTACGGTAAAGACACTAGATACAGGGTAGACATCAACACAATAGGAACACATTGTCAACTCAGACAAAATAACTACGGTAAGGAAACTAGATACAGGGGAGATATCAACACAATAGGAACACATTGTCA